GCTTTCTTATGTTTACAAAAGAGTCTCATCTGGGAACACGATAGTTTTATTGCAGTGCACTGATAAGGTTGTATCAACCTCATGTTTGCTAGAAAAATAGTGTCTTCTCCTGAAATCTGTTTTAATAACCCTTTTACGTTAGATGTTTCAATTCTTGCTTTGTAGAAAACTAAAAACTGTGTTATAACTGCCTGCTCAGAGCTCATCTCTCTGCCTAGTGGACAAGTTTCTCCTGCCATAGCAGCTTGGAGGCCTTCCTAAGGCCCCCAGGTGAGCTGGGTTTGCTGGTGATCCATCTGATGGGCACACTGAAACCCTCAGCTCCATCCTCTGTGTGCCCTCCTGAAATGGGATCTGCTTATCACTCTTAGACCGCATTGCTCGCATTGCTATTATTTATCGTGTTTTAATTGCATCTTTCTAACAGTTTAGACAGCCATTCCCATTAAGGGTATGATTTGCATTTTGAGAGTTGGTTAGATGAAGTCCATGTAATAAATGGTAAATCCACGCTGTGATCTTTTGGAAAGCGTTCAGTGTCTTTTCTCCCTGTAAAGTGCTCTCTGGCGCTGGAATATCAGCCCAAACTTCCTCGCATCCATTCAGCATCACTCTTGAGGGATTTGTGGTTCAAGATCTGAAACTTCACCGCACTTTACAGCAACACATCTGCAAACCATGAGACCTGGCTTTTGTCCAGCACAAGCTCTTTTCCTGATGCCTATCAGTATTTTGTAATTTTTTACACAAGCTGTTTGTAATTGTTTGTAAAAGATAAAACCCTAAAGTAGGGATTTAAAATAAGTACATTTATTTTTTTGTCTCACATAATAGAAATAACCTGGAGAAAATACTTCCTTCTCCCATTTTCATTAGTATCCTGACCAAACTCAGAATTCTTATTTAAGATTGTTTTCCTTGCAGTTGCAGCATATAGCCCAGCCTATGAGATGTTGGAATGCCCTTTAAAAGGGCAGTTATCATGGAGATAGGAATTTCAGTAGCAAAACGGAATTGTCTGACATGTGGGTGTGTTCTGAGATGATACTGCATCATCATGAACCTCTACATGAACTGTGCTGGCATTAGTCTCACCAATGAAAAGCAAGCTGCTTCTGTTATGGACTTGTTATGGACTATCTGTTTTATGGGTTGGTGAAATGAGTGGCCATCTTGGTTTTGATGGCACCGCGTGGAGCCCTCAAGCTGATGAGAACATTCCTGAAGTCAGAGCATCCATCCAATGCTTGCAGACATCATGCTGTTGAGGAAGGAGGCTGAGTTGGGTTGGAGAGCCACACGCATGGTTTCCTTGCAGCCAACGCTTCAGGGGCACGGGGCTGTTCTGGGCTGTCTGCAGGACCCCACGGAACTGCTGAGGTCCATGTCTGTGCATTTTGGAAAGATTTTTAAAACACCCCTTAACACTTGGATGGGTGCAGCTGTCATCTAATTTCTTCTGGATTAAGTTCGGTCAAGAAAGAAGCTGCCTCATTTTCTGGTTGTCATTTGCCCAGGAAGTAAAAGCAAATTGTAATGAGGGAATCACAGCAGGAGAACCTCCTAACAAATGAGAGCACATATTGACTGAAAGCCAGCATGCCATTCCAGTGATAAATGTATTTTTATACACTGCTGCTCAAGGTCACTTTCTGCTCTCATTGTGCACTGCCTGTCACATCATGCAAGTCACATTTTAATACAGAGTAATAGTAATGGTTGATGCAAAATTATATTACTGTGAGATTAAAAATTAAGTTATATATTTTATTAAGTTAAAAATTTTAATATATGTGCTTTGACTTTATCTTGATATTATTGAGAATCCATTTGAAGGACAGAAAGAAAATTAATTTAAAGATGTAAATATACTTTTTCTTGGTGTAGTCCTGAAAGTTTTACTGCAATTGTTAGTACTTCTTGAAGGAGCACTGAAATGTAATTATTGAAAGTACTGAAGCTATTTTAAGAAAATGCTATAACATCTTACTGGGTGAAGCTGTGTAGTTTTGGAAACTGAGGTTTTATAAAATGTTCTGAGTGTGCTCATGCAACCCGTAGTCCTGGGAGGTCTCACGTGGCTGGCCTTCAAAGGACAGTGCAACAAATGGATAGAAAGGTTTTATCAGACACGTTGCTCATACTGAGATTAGACCAAAGCTGAGCATTCAGGAAATCATGTGTTTAGTGTGGACTGCGTGCAGCATATCCCTTCTGTATCTGTATTGTGATTACGTGTTGTAAAATAAAGAAGAAAGAGGGGGGATCATTGTAAGCAGGCAAAGAAAGGTCAGTAAGTGGGGCAAGGCAGACCGTGGCTGCGATGGGGAAAGGCTGTGGGCTGGTGTGGGCATGGGATGAATGGCTGGGAACAGGAGATTCCCTTCTTCAAATGCAGAGGCTAATTGAGTTCTGAGACACTGTTCGAGATTAATGTGGAACTTAGAGGTTCTGTAGGTATTCAGAGCGCATCACAGAACTGTGGAATAGTTAAGGAGAAGAATTCTAGGATCCCTAAGACCAGCCCCAACCCGTCCCCGCCATGCTCACTAACCACTTGTGTCCCAAAATGCCAGATCTGCACAGTTCTGGAACACCTCCGGGGGGCAGTAAGGGTGGGAAGGAAGTAGAGGGAGAGTTAAACCTCATCATTTCTTTTGTTTTTTAATAGCACCTTCAACACCTTGCTTTTTCCACCTTCTTTTGGTTGTTGGCTGTCTTCCCTCAGTCTTTGCCTTTAGCACAGTGATCTTTGCAGTTGCAATTCATCTGTGCTCTGTGTTGTATTTAGGCCAGCTTTCTGGAGCACCTTTAGGAGCTGACTGTGGCAGAGCACCTTAATTTCCAAATAACCAATTCCTTGTGCAGGGACTGTATCCTCTGCAAAAATTGGAGCTGATACTTTCATCTGTTCCAAGTGAAAGCCGTCAGAGCTTTTAATGGCAGTGCTAAGCTGGGACAAACCCAATGCTTTCTGCTTTTCACATGGTACCTGCTAGAAGTGTGGCACTTCTGCGGGTGCATCAGGCATGCTGCATCCTCGGTGAGTGATTGTTTTTGTTTCATTTTAGTTAAGCTACCCTTTGGGACTGGGGAGATAAATATCTAATAATAAATGTGGTAAAATATTGCTATGTCTCTATAGCAGTATATATGTTACTTTATCAATTTAAAGTATGCATTCCAGTATTTATTAAAATAAAATTGCCACAGTGATACAGTGCTTATTTTTTATGTCACCTCTAACAGAATAATGCAGTTCAGTGTAGGGTTTGCCAAATATTGGACTCAGAATTAGGTTGTCATAGCCTCAGTATATCATGTGTACAGGACAGCGGCGGTGACAGGTGCAGAAGTCAAATAGTCTCCCAGGAGCGTGCTCCCATTAAAAAACAATTGCTTGGGCAGAGGGAAGCTCCAAGCAGCTGCACTTTGTCCCACCCTGTCTGCCGTGCAAGATTCAGACGATTGCCAAACCAATGCTGCACAGATTTTATTTTAAATAGAAAATAATTTTTATTATGCAGTATTACACTTCAGAGCGTAACAAGAAATAATGCAAAGAGGCAGCGCGTTGCCGTGTGTTCCTGCCAAAGCACAGCCATCACAGCCATGAATGCAGCATTCAGCACAGTGCCAGCCAGGGCAGTCTGAGCTCCAAATGCATGGGTGCAAGCAAAATATTTTGAATGAGTAGCAATAATTTCGTTTTGTTCTGCTTATTCACTTTGCCTAGGAAGCACAAGATGTGCATTGCAAAGTACACATTTAGGTAGTGCACTAAAAAATAAATCTTGGCTTGAAAGGATTAGCATCAATTAGAGGAGCACTTGCTTTAAATAACAAAGCACATTAATTCCCTTAAGGATTGTACTTATTGGAACACATTTTCAGTAGTTAAGAAGAGCAACAAGTGTGCAAGTACTATTGATTTTCCACCTTTGTATTACCAAAACATTTTTTATTGACAAGTATTACTTGCTTGTTAAGTGCTGCAGTTTGATGGGTCTAAACATTGGATCATCTAATTAATTCCCCTTTCAAATCTTCATCCTAAGCTGTAGTGATTACCTTGAAGACGTAGGTTTGGGGTTCTGTTAGACTTTACTCAACTTACATGATGCACAATAAATATATTGATGGATTGTTAATGTAAGCCTTACTTCGGGTGCACCGTGCCATCTCAGTGGCTTTGCATCTTTTAGTGTCCTGGAGCTGGCTGTAGGAGCACTTTTGTTTTCATGTGCTTTTATTTTCACAGCCTACTTTCGGTCGATGAATGTTTCAAAGTCTTTTTTCACACACTGCAAGTCCCGCCAATTTAAAATTGGCACAGAGCCTCTTAATGCAGAGAGACCAGCTACTGTGTATTCTTCAAAGAAATACTTTCTGAGCTTGTTACTAATGTCTTCGTTATGGTAATCCAATAAAAGATGGTATTTTAAGGAAATTGCCCTCCTATCTCCTGCAGGAACCAAACCCTGAAGTTCCTCTAGCTCTGCAGAGGTGTTTGCCAATAAACCTTGGATAGATTCTGTGTGCTTTCCCAATTTGTGTCATGCTTTTGATTCGAGACCTAAGATGCAATGCTGAAATAGGAGGAAGAGGCTTCTGCTCATAGTATTTGCTGTTTTCTGACTGTAGGAGTTTGATGAACTGTTCCAGAAACTTCTTCCAGAAGTCCAGATGCTGTCGCATTTGTGTTTGCTTACAAATCTGTTCAGCACTGCTGTGGTGCCAAGTAAGGAATGCTCTGTTACTGCTCTTAGAACCAGAGAATCATTATGGTTGGAAAAGGCCGTTAAGATCACAGGCTCATTAGAGTTGCAGGTCACCCTTAAATGCCATCTGGTTCAACTCCCCTGCAGTAAACGGGGGCATCTATGGCTAGATCAGGTTGCTCAGAGCCTCGTCCAGCCTAGTTCATCAAGTCCAGCTGCCAACCATCCCATCACCACCATGCCCTCTAAACCGTGTCCCTAAATGTTCTCTCTTGGCAGACAATCCATGGGCACAAGGGGCCGATCACAGCAGTGGCCTTTGCTCCTGATGGCCGGTACCTTGCCACCTACTCCAACTCAGACAGCCACCTCTCCTTCTGGCAGGTAAGTGCCTTGCTGCAAGCCTGTGTGCCCTGGAGGATCAATGCAATCTGCCCACCTTTGGTTTTGTTGAGCATCATGTTTTTTCTATTTTTATAAAGTACAGATCTCTTACTTTGCAGTTATCTCCTTGTGAGGGATGAGGGCTTATTTCCATACAAATCAGTGTGTAAGTTCAGAGCAGTCAGACAACACTTTGTCCTGTTTGCTGTTCGAATCTAATCCTGTTGTAACACTTCAGTTTTACACACCTAAAACACCCACTTGGTTTAGGTTTAGGGCCTTGCAGGAGACCTCCAGCCAGTTCTGCCAGAACTGCTGCTCCTGCTCTCACACTGTCCCATCCCCTAGTAGGAATTTCTCTTCTCTGACTTCTGGAACCCAGTGAGTTCTCATAAATGAAGATCTCGGTGATATTTCTCCATTTCTTGGACTCAACATGATGCAAAACTATTCAAGATCAACACTGGTCCCGTTACTGCTGCGCCAAGTCCTGCTCAGCAGACACAGCTGCTGTACATTGAGCACAGATCCCTGGTCTGCCCCTCACACTGTCGAGCTGCCTGGAATTTCCATAACGATGCAGGGAACAGAAAGGCTGAAAGAAAAACAATACAAAGAGGGTCTGAAATGGGAGAAACTGAGGTTCAGGTCAACCTTTTATGAAGTACCTGGGGGTTTATTTTTTTAGCATAGGAGCAAACTTTGTGATCGTATCTGTAGAAATACTATTTTGTCAGCAGTGGATAGGTGTAGCGTGGTGGGACAGGTGAGCGTACAAGAAGCTTCATTGGTGCTTACATTTCCTCACCAGGAATTTTTTCTTCCTTTAAATGACTATAGACTTAAAAACTGACTCGATCAAGCAATTTGTGTAGACTATTAATTTCGTTTTGCAGTAGTCATACTATATAATAGAACCCCATATACCACTAATTATTAGTTAGCTTTTAATATATTCTCCTGGTCGTCTGATGCCTTTCATTATTTTTACAGGTGCCATAATAATTATTAAATTATTATCCATCACTGTTTTGCGTATTTTCTGTAACAGTAAATGGGAACAGCAAGAATCTTCATCCATCAGTTATACTTACTTGATTTAAGTACTCAGGGAAAGTCTAGAAAGCAATCAGAGCAGGTCATGTAAAACTGGCAGGCAAAAAAAATCAGGCACGTGGTTTAAAATGTGAGCTGCCACATTCTTCCAGGTGTATAAATGTTCACGTTGAAGTGGCTTTCACATAAAGAGTTAAATATACCTACACATTTAGTTCTAAAATGTGACCTCGTGCACTAGTGATTTTTTTTCCCTTCTGTATTCCATTTGGCACTATTATTAATGCAGGAAAATCAGTAACATTAGTCATCTTAAAAGGGTTATTACTCAAGATGATTTAAATTGTGAAAATGTCAGTGGTGCGTGCATGCTCCCTGCTAGAGATGCCGTGATTTACACTCTCTGACACCATTCTGCTGCTGAGAAGAGCCAGGAAAAAGTAATGGCTTGTACTTTGTCCTGATCAGAATTCAGAGCGTGGGATCAGCAGCAGCACGACTGCCATGTCCCAGGATTTGCCAGGGCTCCACGTGGCACACTCAGAGATACGGCACAGCAGCCGTCTGCCTGCTCTTGGACTCCTAAGGAGCGCCGTGCCTGAGGGTTTTCCAAGTAAAGGAGAGCTTGTAAGGCAGGGTTAGGCAGCTTGTTTTTAAACCATGGAGCTAGGCAGCATGCATCTGCAGTAACTGGCCTGCTTTATGGAGAGTGGAACTCATCAGATTTATCCCGAGTGCTTTATTTATCTAGGAGAAAATAATAAAAATTTGCTTTTTTTCTGCAACTGTTGCAGAACTATTGCAACTATTATGATGATTCTTCTTAATTTTGCACGATTTCACATTTGGTGTTTTAATTATTTTGACAAAAATATTCTAGCATAGACATAATCTTGAAAACTTCTCATGTTTCTCCTTAAAATTTGAATAGAAGCCTTTAATTATAAAGACCTACAAGTGAAGTGTGAGATTTTTCAAAGTAGTAAATAAACTGTTTCCTAGCTAATTTATTGATTTAAATCTTACAATTCAACTTGAGAAAGGCACAGGCAAGGAGAACAATAATTTAAAAAAAGATATGGGGCAAGCAATGAGCTCTGAGCAGCCTGGTGTGCTGTTTGGCAATCCTGCACATAGCAGGGGGGTAGAAACCAGGTGATCATTGTGGTCCTTTTCAACCCAGGCCATTCTGTGATTCTGTGAAGTGGTTCTTGATTGCTAAATGTAACTGAGTTCTGTGCGTAGGAGGGAAACTTCAAGTTTTTGACTGTAATTTACGTTGCATTTAGTCATGCACCAGTTTCCTTTCTCTTGTGTTGGAAGGATAAGCAGCTGCAGAGCTTTGGAAATGTTGCTCACAGTGCCTGCTGGTAGCACCGTGAGCTCCCCACAAAGAGTAGTGCCACACACCTGCTGGCTTTATTCAGCCATTCCTTTTGCAAAGCTCTGTGCTGTGGGACGCAGCACGATGCTCAGAACCTGGGCGCTGACAGCACTGCCTCTCCCACGCTGGGTGGGTCTGGAGAAATGTCACTTGGGCCTGATCCGGGTGGGCTGGGAGGCCTCTCACCAACAGCTGTCTCTGCAGATGAACACGTCACTGCTGGGCAGCATCGGCATGCTCAACTCAGCGCCCCAGCTGCGCTGCATCAAGACCTACCAGGTGCCACCCGTCCAGCCCGCGTCCCCTGGCTCGCACAACGCCCTGCGCCTGGCCCGCCTCATCTGGACCTCCAACCGCAACGTCATCCTCATGGCCCACGATGGCAAGGAGCACCGCTTCGTGGTCTAGGGGAAGCTGCCTAAGCTGAAATGCGTTTCTGTTACAACTCCATGTAACTCTCCCTTCTTTGTTGCTGTCCTCTGGTCATGGCTCTGCTTGCTTTACCAGGTTACAGCTCTGCCCGGTTTTCCAGGCCGTAGTTCTGCCTGATTTGCCAGGTTATGACTCTGCCTGGTTTGCCAGGTCATGGTTGTGCCCGGTTTGCCAGGCTGTGGCTCTGCCTGCCTTGCCAGGCCATGGTTGTACCCGGTTTGCCAGACCATGGCTCTGTCTGGTGTGCCAGGTCACAGCTCTGCCCGCTTTGCCAGGCCATGGCACCAGGTGTGTTCTCTTCGCAGCAGGGTGGGGGAAGCTGTGGTTTTGGGAGGCCCAGTCCCACCCTGACTGTGCCGTGGCCTGGCCGGTGGCTGCTGGCCTCATGCTGGTGGCCTGGTTCCACGTGCTCACAGGAGCCTCTGTGGTTTACCAAAGGCCCCGTTTACATGTATTCCTTCTAGTGACCACTGAATGATCAGTAGGTGGTGTGTCTTAGAGGGTTCTTAATAAGGGCCTAATTAATTGGGGATAATTAGTAGCTGAGTGTGCAGGAGTTGAATGGCCTCTGTTCTGAATGGAAGGGGCACGTTTCCTCAGAGAAAGACAGTTTTTGAGGAATTGAAGTGCTGCTGTGCTCAGCCATTGCTTGCTGTCTTCTGGAATAAAGGATAACAATTCACATGTAAATAAAGAAAATATCTCTAAGATTGACTAGCAAACTTGAACAGAGGAGTATTTATATATAAAGGTGTTTTTTTGCTACCAATGAAGGTATTTATTTTGAAGAAAATAAAAAGCTTTTTCTTCCCAAAGCTGCTCCCATTTGTGCTGGATCCCATGCGGAAGCAGGGTTGTGGTCTGGCAGGTCAGGGCCACTCTCCTTCACTGCAGGAGCGTGGGGTCACAGCAAGCCCTGGGAGGCAGCACAAATGGTGTCAGTGATTAACAATTCTTGCAAGAAAAACTATGAAAAATAATAAGTTATTTGAGCAGATATACTGAAACCATTTATTCGGTAGGAATATTCCTGTGTAATGTTAGATGTGACTGTGCTTCCTTCTTACATATCTAATTCTGTGAAATATTTAACCATGTGAAAGTATGCTGGTTTATGCTCACAATAAAGCAAAAACAAATCTATGAAATACTGTTTTATTTAAAAATATTGATGTATATGTTTGTATAGCTTTCTCTTTGCCATTTTTGTCCGAAAAGCTCGCAGAAATAAGGGGGCTGTCTTTACATGATAAAGTAAAAATGGTACTTATAAAATCCTCCCTCCAATTCCCCAAAAAGGAATAAATTAATTTATAAAACAGATTCTAAATTTAAAAAGCATTGATTTCTTTTTAATTTTTTTTTTTAAAGTTGGTCTGTGCAGTACATTATAGATGAAGGTGAGATTTTCAGTCCAGGAAGATACATATCTGTTTGCTGTTTGAAAATTAAGAAAAGAGCAAGAAATTAAGACCGTTAGGAATGTTTAACACAAACTGCCATAAAATTTAATCCTTTTATCTGGCAGGAATGTAGTGTATAGTAGAGAACACTGTTATAGAATATCAGGGTCTTCTTTCTAAGTGAACTAACACAACATGCATGTACATTGTGTTCGTAAAGAAGCGTGTGTAACTCTGAAGGTTAAAGATAGGAAGAAGAGCTAACAGAGACCTTCCATCTGTAATCTGAAACACTGCAGCATTCGGTTTGGATGCACGAGGAGAGTCAGGGTGCACTGTAAGCATTGTCCCATAGGCGTCCTGGGATCCCATCAGTTACATTAGGGTAGGTTCCAAGATGTGTATGTGTTTACTTTCAGAAACGAAACACAATCCCCATGGGAATGGTGGACCATAGCCCTCCAATGATTTCCTTTTGTGGTATAGTGAGCAAACATCTTGAATTATATATGCGTTAAAATGTTTGATTTAAGCTAGAAGTGAAATGGATTTTCTTAAATGCAGAAGAGAGGTTGTTCCTTTCCTCCCAGTGCTGCGGGTCAGCTGCAGCCCCACTGGGGTCCAGGATCCATCAGTGGGGCTGGACACAGCCCCCACTGTGGTGACTTTGTTTGCCCCAGTCCTCAACTTCACAGCCTCGGTCTCTCAGCACTGCAGTAAAATTTGTATTGTCATTCCAGTGTAAGCTTTTAGTGCTTTATTGATTTGTTAGTACTGTATTTGGACTTGTCCTTGTAAACGTGGAGACGTATGTGGCTTCATTGGCAGTTTACAAGCAAAAGATGACATGATGAGACACCTGTATGAAAGTGTTGTAATGATGGAAGTCACCATGTATGGTAAATGATTGAAGTGTCTGCCTCTCAAGCAACTTCTGGAGTCCACTCCTAGTCTGCTGTATGTATACTGCATACCCTGGTGTAAATATGCTTGTGAAATAAATCTGAACTGTATCGAAGAGCATTGCTGTTATGGCATCAGCCAGGTGGCATGCAAATAATTCCCTGCCTCTGATTCATGAATCATAAGTTTTTTCACCAACTTTTTTCGTTTGAAAGTCAGCTTAAGTGATGTCCTGTCTGTTGTGCTGGGAGGACCCGCAGCCTCAGTGCAGAGGGAGGAAGGTGTTGGAATGAAGTTCTTGTAACTCCCCAGCAGTGTGGCTAAAGCACACAAAATTGCAATCTTCCAGAAATTCACCAGTGCCAGTGTTTGCAAGATGGTGCTTTCCTTGTCACCTGGTAACTGATGCAAATAGCAACATTTCCTAGCGTGGAATGCAGGGTCCTAAGAATATTTGAGGTGCACTTGCAATGCAGATTATTTTTTCAATCGCAATTGCTTTCTGGTTGCTGAAGAATCCTAAGCACCTTGGGGCTGGTGGAGGTGTGCCGCAGTGTGCGAGGGCACCAGGGATGGTTACCAAATAACCCTTCTAAACAAAGCAAACAGCAAGGAGGAAAAAAAAAAAAGCAGCAACACAAAGGAATTGGGTGAATCCTCAGTTTTCACAGTGCACGAACATGTTAAAGTATTGGTGGCCCCAGGGTTTCCTCTTAGGTGAATGGCACCCGGCATGAGGGGCACGGTGCTGGCGGGGGGCAGAACTGGGCAGAGCTGGGTGAACTTTCACCTTTCCCCTCGCCGCTGACAGCGGAGCTGAGTGGTGAAAAATCAATACCTGGGAGCCAGGAGGGAAATATTTCCAACCTCTAACTAGAGAATGTATTTTGACAAGGCCAAGATAATCCAGGCTACACAGGAGAAAGAGAAAAGAAGACTCATTTTTAAAGCTTGACACTTCAAGGTGTTTTTGTGCAATGCTTTAGAGAGCATCGATACGTACAAATACCAAAGGTCAAAAAGAAAAGCCAGAAGAATTTCAAAAATTAGATGTGCTGGGTTTTGCTCTTTACTTTGCAAAACATAAACTGTGATTTGTGCATAGGAATGCTCAAATGTAGGTAACTCAGTGAGCTTGGACCCACAGTCTCCTCATTTAATAGAAATGAAAATATGCCAGAGCCTATATTGTACCTTAAGCAATTTACCTATAAAAAGTACATGCCTATTTCCTGCTATATATCTGCATTCAGGGACATTAATTGTTTTTGATTCGGCATGATTGCATTTTGATGCCAAAAGATCAATATTTTTTTCATTTATGCAGCATCATTTTTTTGATAATTTAATATCTAGCTGTGCGCTCGAGTTCTGCAATGAAATGACCAAAAGCTGCTGCCGGGTTCAGCTGAGAGCCAGGGTCGGAGCAGCACGTCCACGGTGTGACTGCTGCGCAGTGCCCTGCTCCCTGTTCTGCTGCTGGATGTCACAGCTGTGACTTAGGGGGGCAAAATCCCATCACGGGCAGCGTTGCCTGATGAATGTAATCCAGAGCACGGAGGCAGAGGAAGAGCCAGATGAGATCAATTGCGAAGGTGCTCTCTTTTCCAGCTTAAAAGAGCATGCATTAAGGCTGGGGGAGACGAGCCGGTCTGAGAGGTGGTGGAGATAAGGAGCAATGTACTTCTACATTATTAATTGCGTATGCGTGATCACCTCCAAACTGCCACAATATTCTGCTTGAACCGGTGCAGTAGCATTTGTCCGCTAATTAGTGGTGTTTGGAACAAGATACTGGAAATGAGAAATCACCTGAGATTTGTAGGGGGAAAAACAAAACGAAGAAAAGCTCTGCCAGATACATCCAATTTGCTGCCTTTGGCGGTGAGGGGTACGAGGCCATCGCAGGTGTGACAAAGCTTCCTTCCCAGAGCCTGTTTGGTTACTGTCCTCTTTAAAGTGTGTCAGACCTGCGTGAAAACAAAGCTATCTGAAGGTGCAGACCACCGAGGTCAGTGCAAACTACATCAAATGTATTGATCAAAGAGTTTTTCCAGAGAGCGTAATGTTCCTGTTTTACATTGCGTGTGCGTCTTGTGGCCCATCAGCATTCCTTGCAGCTGACTCAGAAATCCATCCACACGCGTTTGGCCTCCCCAGGCAGTGCAGGGGGACGTGCGTCCCTTCTGCAGCCTCCTGAGTGAGGACAGCACAGGCAAGTGCAGAGTCAGGGCAGAGAGACCCCTGTTTCAACCCCACGTGAAATGGATGAAAAGGACACGATTCCTTGAACGAAGCAGATTAACTACGGGGAAGAAAAAAGCAGAGGGATGGCGCATAGAAACATGGTCAGTGGGGATGAGTAGGGCTTGGGCTTGGTGACCTTTGAGGTCTGTTCCAACCTTAGTGATTCTGTGAAGGGTAGAGGCTATCTCCAGGCTTGCCTTTTCATGCACATTTCATGCCAGGACTCTGGGTGTCCACTGAAACCCCTGTGTGGAGAGCACGGCTTTCCTCTGTGTGGAGATGGATGCAACCATGTCTACCAATGACCTCACCAGTGTTCGGAAGTGGACTGAATTTGGTCTCAAAAATGATTCTTGTAGCAAATTTTTGTAGCCATAACATTTTTTCAAGTTAACGAGTCATTCTCAAACAAAGCAGTGTGAATGGAAAACCTTTAATATTTTTTTGCCTGTAGCTTATATATTTAAAAGCCAACGTATTGGTAGCAGAAACTGGATGAGACA